GCACCAGAACGAGCCGTTCTGCAAGAAGAACGACCCGTTCTGATTGCAGAACGCCCCGTTCTGCTTGCAATACGGGCCGTACTGAAAGCAGAACAGGTCGTTCTGCTTGCAGAACGGGTCGTTCTGTTGCAGTACAGGCCACCGCGTCACTTTTAAAATAGCTACCTTATGATTGATTTTAAAACTCCGATTTTAAAAGTCATTTTTGTACTAGTGTGTCTTTCTATAGAACAAGGATGAGTCTTTATCTTACAATACCACCTGCTGACATTGCGCACCCCTCTTCTTTATCTTTCTGGCACTCTCCTCTTCTTTTTTTTTTCCTGCACCTCGCACGCCCCTCTTCTTTGTTATATTTTAACCCTCTCATCTCTCATAATAAATTTTCTCCCACTTGATATGCTCCCTATATATATATATATATATGTATGCATGTGCACAAATTTTCTCATATTATATTTTTTTATATTATTTTTCTTCTAGTTTTATATTTTTTATTTTTATTGTTCTAACCTTTTGTTCATCTAACATTATGTAAATCTTAAAAGAAACAAACCAAATATCATGTTGTTTAGTTGATACAATATTTTTCTTTTCTTGTTTTCTAACACTGAAAGACTAGAAGCGAATTCTTCAATATTTGTTGATCACTACTGTTGTAAAAGAAAATATAAAGATTAACATAATTTATTAAAACATGATTAATAGAGATGTTTTCTGAAATTATATATATATATATATATCAGAAATAAACAATACAATTTATATATATATAATTAATATAAAGATCAATTTTATTATAAATCCATGAAGACTTTTTGTAGAATATAAAACTAATAATTAACACTTATAAATAATTTTAGGTCTTTAAAAAAAATAATTTTTCTTTAATATAAATTTTGGCCTACCTTGAAAGATCTGACTCCGTCCCTAATGACATGTACAACAACTTTTGTTGTGTGTTCTCCGTTAAAATTAGAAAGCTTTTTGCGCTATATAGCCTGAACATCACTAAGAGTAGATTATTGCTATTATGAAAAAAGTTAGGGTAAACTTGCACAGAACAGCAAAAAATAAATAAATGAATGAATCACCTGATGAGGAAACAAGAATTTAAGCAGAATCATTATTTGAGTGAAGAAAAATCTGATAGACACAATTATAGACAATAGTGCTATGATCAGCATGTAGGAGTTATATTGAAAACAAAATAACAAAGAAAGCTTAATTAATACTCTGAAGTCTGATGTCACTGTAGCCACCACTACTTACCTGAACTTTGACAAGAAAAAGAAGGAAGCAAAAAAAGCAGTGTACATAAAGACTTTGTGCTTATAAAAACATATATATATATAAAGCTTATGAAGATACTAAATAGTTTGTAGATGCAGAAAGCAACAATAACTCCAATAGATACTAACTAATGAAAGAAAGACATAATTAAAGGAGTTATACAATCTAAAATTATGAATCATTAATATGCCGATACTTTTTAGGGTTTAGGGTTTAGGGTTTAGGGTTTAGGGTTTAGGGTTTAGGGTTTACTTTTTACGTAGCGTCATATGTAGTATACTGTATATATAATACATGGTACTATCAAGGGGACTCGTAACTAGATATCTAGCTAACGAAATAACAGTTAAGATATATAGAAGAATAACTTTGACAACTGTCTTTCGCCCAAACTTTCTCAATTTGTTGTACTAATGTGTATTAAGTGAGAACAGGTGCTGTCAGAGACTACAACATATGTGAATTTATCTCAATTTTATTTTAACTTTTTGTACCAGTTGTTTAAATAAAAAATTAGTGTTTATTATCTTTTAATCACATAACATTTTCAATTCAAAATTTAAAATGCAAAGAAAAAATATTGAATTTTTTTAAATAAATGTACACTAATTTTTAATTAAACTACTATTTTTATAATACATTAAAAATACTATATATCAAACTAATTTAAATAAATGAAAACTATTTAACTAATAATATTTTGTTGATATGTGAAGAAATATAAATTAGTATAAAAACATAGTTTAGCTTTTAAAAAATAAATTATATATATATATATATATAAATTTAAAGATATAAGTTCGTGAAATTTCATTTATAATAAGAGAAGTAATACATGTTGAAATTGAATCAAATGTATGGTGACAAGCAAAACATCATGCATGTTGGAGCAAGAATGTGAGCAGCGCGATTAGTTTCTCTCCTAAGAAACTTAACCATGAAGTCCTGATTTGAGTTAAGGAGATGTCAGCGTTCGTTTAAGAGGTGACCACATTCAGAGTTGTGAATTGAGCATCCACATATATAGGTCATCAACTACATGTTTGCGATTTGTTTCAATATTATGGCAGCAGGTTGTGGCCGAGTTCCAAAAGCCACATGCTGGTTGCAGAGCTAGCTAAGAGTTCTGCTTCGTGGGCGGGTAGTACTCCATAGTCCATAGTGCCATGTAGTCTGTGCCCTAACAAAAGCACTGAGGGTGTTTCGGATGCATACACCGAAACCAAAACTTGATGATTCAGGAAATATTGCAGCATCCATATTGCATTTGATTATACCTTCCGGGGACGTGTCCAAGTTTTTTGTGGGGTTTACGGTTTAACATTTTCATCTTCTGTGGTATTTTAAGGTTTTAGATTTTCATCCATTCTCCCGGGACTCGTAAATCAACGTTTGTTACGAGTGATTCCATGGTATAGAAGTATGCGGACTTGACTGTATAAGTGCCTTTTAGGGTCAAGTTCCAGATTAATTGACTTGTCGTTCTCTCCTTTTTATGAGAGACTTCCTCGATGTCCTTAAATGAAAAGAACTCAGCAAGGAGATCATGTTGCCAGTTGCCTAACTCTGATAAACCAGGTCCTTTACCATGAGATGATCCTTACCTTCAACAATTGGAGATGTAATGTAAAAGTTATCTTTATATAGTACCCAGCCATGGTCCTTCACTCCTTCCAGATGTTTATATTGCTATCATCGCAGATACACCAATTTATTTCTCCCTTCACCAACACACTTGTAAAGCACTGATGCTATGTCAAACGAAACTTGAGTTATGGCGGAGCTGGGCCTCCAAAAAATCTCCTTAGGAAAGTATTTAACTTAAAAAAATACGAGTTATTAGTTATTTTTAATTCTTATAAATAATTATAATCACAACAACTCTGTAAATATTGAAAATCATTAGCAGTTAGAGGTATAAAGCATTGTTCTTTTTCTTCTTTATTCTCTTTTATAAGTTAAAAACTTGTCTGTTCTGCATTTTTAATATATTATGTAATTTAATCAAAAGTTTGACCAATTTATTTATTTGAACTTAAACCTAACCTAATCAAAACTTGAAATAATTAGGATAACACTAAGTCAATATATATATAGTTAAATTGTAGAATAAAAAAAGTGTAAAAAAATAAATTAAGATATATTTGATAATATATTTTAAAACAAATAATATTATTAAAAATATAATATCATATTTACAAAATATTATCAATCACAAATTACATCTTTATTTTGTTGTGTTATTGTTAACCATATATTGTATTGTCAAGGGTTACATCACAAACAAGTTGTTTTTTTATTGAGGTGCAAAATAAGAAATGTGCATATATATATTAAAAACATAGTTTTGATTAATAAATGAGTTTCATTGTCATATATTTTCGGTGCATTTTTTTTACTTTGACTATTAATTTAAAATCACATTATATATGATTTTTAAAATAATTATTACATATTTAACGGTTTGTTTGTTTGAATGGCGAATGTCAACCATATCAATGAATTCCTAACTCTGCAAAGCAACACCCAAGTGATGAGGGTTAACAATAATGGACACTTGCAAACGCTAATAGATACTAAGTTGGTCTTTGCACGACTTTGTTGAGTGGTCACGAGGAGGTTGGTTAGAGTATGGTAAGACCAAATTCATAAGAATATTGGTAATTGATTAAGAATTTCACCATAACACTCACCATGTATGCTTAATGTCATTTGATAATGTAAAAATTTTACATGAATTAAATACATTTTTTATTGTCATTACCAAGGAGTATATATTTCTCGTTGAATGCGTAAATTAATTTTTTTTTAAGATTTGATAGGTATTGAATAAGTGAATATCTCTTTTCAACTTAAATTTTTTACATGTGCAAGAATTAAATTCAAATCTCGGTTATTTGATTATAAGTAACAAGAGTCCCTAACTCCTCATATCAACCCAAGTTGACACATTTTAATTAAGTTCTTAGTGATTCACTTCAATATATAAACTACAATATTTGATGTGTTTTTAATTATCATTCATAACCTAATTAAAAAAATGATAATTAATAATGTTAATATTAATAAAAGAATATTATTTGCAACGAGCAATGAAAGGACATGGACAAACAGGTTGCCTATCCACCATTTTATTGTGTTGCATTATATTCTCTTATTATATGGTAAAAAAAAAACCATTATTTATAAAAAAAAATGTGAAAGTTAAAATATGGATAAATATAAAAAGGTACGCGAAGGATGATGTAAAAAAATCGAGAAGTAAAAGATTTATACACTAGTTAAAAAGATATATATTTTATAGCACACAAAAAAAAAAAAAAAAAAAAAAGAGCAAATATATATAAAGAAAAATGTAAAATATTCTAATAATACATGATGTTGAAGATGATGGATCAAGACAATGGAAAGGTTTATATCTAGATATTCACAAATTACAAACACTTCATTAAAAAATCATTTCTCTTTTTTATTTTTAACATCATGTCACTAATTATATATATCAATAATTTATCTATTTTATTTTTTTCTTTTTGAAAGCTTAGATCACCTAAGAGTATCCAAAAATCATTCTTGATAATGGAATATTGGAATCCTAAATAGTCCTAACCATGTGACATACATGCTAAGCATGTGCTATGTTGAAATTGAAAAAACATGAATTTTGTAAAAATAAAAGGGCATGATGATGATATAGCTAGAAGGAATCAAAAGAAAGCAGCGGTAGATCCATATCCATATCCTGGGAATCCCATGTTATTGAAGCGATGGTGGCGATTCGTATAGTTGTGAAGCATGGGTGGTTGATGCACAAGGTTGGGATTGGGAAAGGAAGAAGCCCCTGGAAAAAGGAAAAGCTGATGAGTAGGGTTTGGAATACTCTGAAGCATAGCCCTATCAACAAGGCATGCTACGCGCTTCTTGAGCTCCTCCAACGCTACCTTGTACTGCTCCAATTGGGCCCTAGTCATCTCCTCAATCGGGGAGGCCCACCAAAGTTGGGCCCGTATGGCTTTCTTCAAATGGGCCAAGTCCTCGCCACGCACATTGGCAATGCGGTGGGCCTCAATGAAGTGCATGGTGCTTGAGTTTGGCAGTGGGCCTGGCGCCAGATACCGATCTATCACCACATCCACGTTCGGATGGCCGAAGGAGAAGACCTTCTCCCCAGGAGAGAACACAATCAGTGCCACGTCAGCGCCACACAGAATGCAAAGTTCACTCGCTTTCTTGAATAGCCCACTGCGACCCTTCGAAAATGTCACTTGGAGGTTCGTCTCATTGCTCATTTTCTTCATCTCCATCTTTTGCCGCCCACCACTTTTTTTTGTCTTTGAATTTGACATGCTTCAATAACAACTCAATTAGCCTATGGACAATGTTATAACATAAACCACCTATAAAAGTGGCACAGTGAAGGACTCAATTTATAGCACACTTTGAGTCAATCAATGCGCCACTGTTATCTGTTGACACTCAAACATGTACCACCATTTTCCTTGCATTCATGTGCTTTCTGGATTCAAAGATTCTGGAAATCCCATTTGCATAACTTGATATTTTCCAACTCTCATTAATAATATTAATTTTAGTTTTAGCTATACCAACCAAACTAGTGAATTTTCTGGCTTAAAATTATTTCAGTTTAACCAGTGATTTGAATTTGAACTTTCGGTTTGCAATTTCATTAAATATTTATAGAGTCAATTTTTTTCTTTACAATGGTCCTACATTGTTCAAGAATAATAATCTGTAATAAAAGATACATTTAACCTCTACACACATTAAAAAAAACATAAAATAGATAAATTTTAGAATAAAGACGTACATAAAAAATTGAAAGTGAAACAAATTAAAATTTTCTCACCAATATATATAACTATTTTATATTTAATTTGTTCGTATAAGTTTTCTCATAAAAACTAAAACTTCTTGTTCTTCTCCTATATAAATGTTTACTTATTGAAAGAATGTCTTTTTTATTATTTTGGAAAAAAAAGTTTCAAAAAACAAGAATTAGTTAAAAAGGTATTCGTAATATAGTAAATCGAATGTGATACGATTAATTAATATTTCATCAATAAAAAGAATACAACATTTAAAGAAAATGTGTCGGATATAAAAAGAAAATATTAGTTATTCCAACAACAAAAATCTTAAAATCATGTGAACAATTTTTTTAATATATCTATATATATATATATAGAAAGTCAAAATACGTTAACATCACACAAAATCTTATAAATAACATATTATAATTTATATAAATAAAAATAATTTTAAAAAAATAAAAAAATAAAAAAAAAATCTCTTCATCTACCAAAATTATCTCCAAGAAATTTGTTTGCAATGGGTAATGGATTCTTAAACTCTGACAGCCTCCACAATCTTATTATACGAACTCTTATCTTTCAGTCAATTCTCTCGTCGCAATGTCTTTTAGTAATGTAAACCTCTAAATCATGTCCTTTAAAATGAAGATGAAAAGTAAAAAGGATAAAAAATTTAATAATATCTTCACTAATCATTTTTTTTTGTGAAGATTAAAATTTCAAACATAAGTAAAAACAAAAACTACACTATCCAACAATGAAATTTATAAATGTTATAATTTATGGAAGAAAAAAAAACTCTTCATCCACCAAAATCATCTCCAAGAAATTTGTTTGCAATGAATTCTTAAACTCTGACAGTCTATATAATCTTATTATACGAACTCTTATCTTCCAGTCAATTATCCCTGCTACAATGTCCTTTAGTAATGTAAATCTCTTAGTCATGTCCTTTAAAAAGAAGATGAAAGTAAAAATGATAAAACTTTTAATAATGTGTTCACTATACATCAACATTAAAATAACAAACCTTTAAAATTAAAACTTTATACAAGCTTACCTAAAAATGATTTTCCAATGATTGATAGAGAAACTGTGAATCCTCATATTAGAAGTACAAAAGTACCCAAATCATAAAGTGGACAATGTATATATGGAGAGAGTATTTTTAGAAATAGGGAGTATGATGAAACTAGACAATCAGAATGAAATTTTGAAAAGAAAAATGCTTTAAAAAAATTATAGGATAGTTGAAATCAATTGGCATTGAAAAGCTGCAACTAATACATAGGAAATAGATATTCATAATTGTTTCTCTGAGTGGAAGACAAAATGCAAGCAATTTGATGAAAAACGTATGAAGTAGAGAGGAAGAGAAAAAAATTTTCTTTTATATAAAGCAAAGAGAAAGAGGAAGGATTTTTCTTATGTTCAGAATTTATTAAAATAAAAAAATAAAATTCAAAATAATTATGATAAGATAAAATTACATAAGTACACTTATTTTGAGCGAGAAAAAAAGAATCACAGACTTCTTTCTTTTTATTATAATAAGGATAAAGATACAATCTTGAGTCATTAGATGATTTTTTGTTACTAGTAATTATGTTGTATAGTGTAGAGACTATTGACAGGTTGTTACACTTCATATCTCTTTATATATTTTATTTAAATTTAAATGTAAAGATAGTTATAATTTTGTGCATAAAAAAGTATGCTTTATTTTTTACTTTGATAGTTCCATTGAGGTGAAAAGCCACATTGTATATATTAGAAGTGACGATTGGGAGAGTTAGGGAGTAACTTAATAATAATTAATTATTAAATTAATATAATAAATAAAAGTTACTAAATTGTCCTATACCAGTAAAAAAATATATATAAAATAATTCGATAAAAAGGATAAAAAAAAAACATAGCAAAATGTGTATACAAAAACATTATATCAATTTTATCTATTGTTATAAATTAAATATATGAACCATTAGTTTGCCTCGAAAGTATTTTTAAAAAAAAAATTTCGATAAAAGAATTTATAGATATTTTTTAACTTTTAATCTAATTCAATTTTTTAAATGAATCTAAGAATTTCCGAACCCCTAAAACTAAATCGTATTTAAATGAAAATTACATATTTTGAGATGACAGAGGTGAAAGAAAAATATTTTATAACACAATTAAAATTAATAACCAAAATAATGATTTTAAATTTCAAGAGAATGAAAACCAAAAAAAAAATGTTTTGCAAATACAAAAGTTAAAAGACACTCATTTTATGCATTAAAAACATTGAAGCCAAAAAGTTAACTCCGATATATATATATATATATATA